CCTTTGAGTATCAGTGCAGTAAGTTGTCCCCCCTTCCCCAGGATTTCACCGCAGCAGAAGCAGACATGCAGCTTCACCAGCAGCCCGCCGACCAGATTCACCCGGTGCCTCTGAACTTTGACCCTTTGCACACTTACGTTGGCTGCTTCCACAAAGCCCTGAAGACCATCCTGAAGAAGCCAGTGGAGCAGCGCATCACGAAGGGCAAGTCAGACCCCAGCTGGCCGCTCCGAGGCCTCCTGCTCTGACTGACTTCGGGTCCCTTGCCGGTTTCAGGTCTGAGCAGCGGGCCGGACGCCAAGCAGGTGCAGACGCTGATCCACAGGACGAAGAGCACCGGGGACAAGCTCACCTTTCTGCGATGTGAGAGCCTCCCTCTCGCTTTTAATCCTTTCATTTAGATCAGTTGTTGGTTTACCTACATTTTTCCTCGGTTGTTAAGTCTCATGCCCTCTCCACAACCCCCCCCCATCCACCCTCCCACCAGATGCACGATCACCGATCCTGGACCCGGACACTGCGCACCCTCGCCTGCGTGTCTCGCCGACCTGGGAGACCGTCAGCAAGGCCTGGATGAGACGCTCCTGCTCGGACGGACCCCAGCGCTTCGACCGCCTGCTGCAGGTGCTGGCTCGAGAGTCCTACTTCGCCGGCCGCCATTACTGGGAGGTGGACGTCCGTCTGGCCGGCCAGGGCTGGTGGGTGGGCGTGGCCTATCGCTCCATGGTGCGCAGGGGCGACTCTGAATCTTCACGCCTGGGCTGCAACGCCTCTTCCTGGTGCCTCAAACGCTTCGATCTGGAGTACTGGGCCTTCCACAACAGCACACGGGAGCCTGTGTTCCTGGAGCAGGATCCGGAACGCTTGGGCGTCTTCCTGGACTATGAGGCAGGGACTCTTAGCTTCTATGACGCGCTGTCTGGGATGAGGCACCTGCACACCTTCCAGGCAAGGTTCACCGAGCCACTGTACCCCACCCTGCGTCTGTGGGAGGGGCCCATCTCACTCTGCAAACTGACGTGATAATTGTGGGGGGAGGGGGAGGCTTCTTCCAGAAGCTTGTGCCTTTCGGACAGGGCTGTGAGCTCAGCATCTTTTAAAAAGTGACCAACCAGAACACACACTGGAGCCCTGCGTCATGTGTCAGCTTCTCCACTAGAGGGCACCGACAAGCATTATCCACACATTCAAACGGAGGACACCATGTAAATTGCAATACTCAATATTTATGCATAGCTGTGTTTAACAGTAATTGACCTACTACTCTGTAAATGGATGTATTTTTGTTCCCCACATAGTAGGAAGCAATTATGCGTTCAAATAAGCATGATTGATGTCAGTATCCTTTAGTACAAAAGCCTGAATACACTGACAGAATCATTGAATATGAGAAACAACAGAATAACTGACAAGTCACTTTTAGTAGTTTAACAATAACCTGACCACTATGCATATTGATTCACTGAATGACTGTGTTACACATAGATGGCATCCTGTTGATCTTAAATGTGTTTTCACATACATATTGTAAATAAACCACACTCAGTCCTCCAAAAGTTCATTTGAAACACTGAGTTCATTTGAAAAGGACTCATTTCACTTTCAGCTCCACTTCAGCTCTTTCTGTTCACACTATCGTTACCAGCAGCCATAGTTCTGTCATTTTTTTTTTTTGAGCACTGCAGTGCGATAGCATATGACCTGTCTACGGCAAGCCTAGAGGGCTAAAATACATGGCAAAAGGAGACGGGAACCTGGAGCGCTTTGTGTTCACCATGTACAGGTTAAACGAACCGCAACGCAGACTTGAAGCTCAGTTTGTTTCAGAGCGTCGTTTGGAACCTTCACATATGCAAATGGTCGCTATTGCAAAATAATGCAACTTGCACATCTACTAACTGTAGTTTGCTTAACACTATTTCTGTCAATTTCATTCCTAAAATAAACTTTTAAAAGTAAATGTATGTGCAATGTTTTTATAAAATGACGAAAAAAACATCTGTTATTTTCATTGAATGAACCAAGATTACTGCCTGTACCTCTGCTAGGAGGTAATTTAAAGGTAAAGTTAAATGGAACCTTAATAAAACACGCTGAAGATCCTCTGTAACTGATTTTTATTCCCCTTTTTGGCAAAACTCTCCAGCGTCTGGGTAATAACAGAACTTGCTGGAACCACCCAGTACACACATGGAGCGCCGATATGTTTACAGAAATCATCTGACAAGTGCTGTTCATTTTCAAGGTACAAATCCCCATAACCATTCAGTGCAATCAGTGCAGTACTGTGAACCCTCATGTGATTAATGCTAAATCTTCATCAGTTAACTCTCCAGCTTGGCTGCGAAGTTCAGAAGGCTCCCTTGGTTATGAAATGGAAATAGAGATCTTCCAGGACCGAATCCTTGCAGGACAGTCATATCTCAGCCATGGGCCCCAACAGTCACCTGCTCAGGACTTGTTCTTCTTGCCGTAGCTGTCGACCACGTCCTCAGTGACGCTGGCGTCTTCCTCCACGTCCTCGGTGACCTTCTTTCCCACCAGCTGGAAGATGTCCTCGGGCGCCACGCCCTTGGGCTCAGCCACCTTCACCGTCAGCATGTCCAAGCTGAGGACCGAGCCTTTGGCGATGGGCACCTTGGCCACCACTGACTTCCCCAGCTGGGGGGGAGGAGGCAGGACAGACGGGTTTGGCTGCTGAGGCTAAATTTCCGTTTTTGTCCTGTTTACGTCAGTATTTACGTCTTACAGGCAATGTTGCAGCTAACAAAGAGGACAACAGATGCATTAATTCCTCATACTGCCACCATTAATCACTATCTTTCTATGGATTAATCCATCGACCATTTTAACGATTGGTTGATTAATTTAAATGATTAATTTTCCTTCATAAAATCAATTAGACCATTTAATTTAAGCTAGTTTGTTGTATTGCAGGGTTTTACATAAAGGACGTCGGTTTAAACTCTATGGACATTATTTTCACCCACAATTCGATAAACAAATTAGTAGTGTGTCTAAACTACTAATGAGATGCGTATTGTGATGCCCAAAAGTTAGGAATCTGTATACATTCGGTGTATCCCTGCGCTTATTACGTTTGGTCAGCGGAGGCGCCGCATGCGATTGTCTTGGTAAATCATGGAAGCGATAAGCACTGAAGTCAAGGTACAACAGAGCAACATCATCATCTTTTAAAAGAGGAGATATTGTGGATAAACAAGGTAAGAAGATGTTGGTGTTGTGGTGCTTTTTTTTGTAAATATAGTTTGTAAATATAGTTTTCATCTTTATTTCAGTTTCCTAATTATTTTCTTTTATTTAGTGTCCGTTTTCATTTCAGTTTTAGGTTACGATTACGCTGGTCCCAACAAGCCCAATGCGCTTGTTACTACAACGCTGGGTAGTTTGAGTCCAGAGAGTAAAAGTCTAGACCAAGATTTTGTTTCAACCAATGAGTTGAGTACTTTGTTACTGTGACCCTTTATAGTCAACAAGTAGGTTGAAATAAAATCTTGGTCTGGATTTTTACTTTCTGGACTTGAACGCACCTCCCGCATTTACTTTTATTTATTAGATGCTTTAATCTGAAGTGACGTACAACTGAATGCAGGGTCGGCCAAATACTGGGGTTGTGGCGAAAACACTCTGCCAGTCATGGGATTAGAACCAGTGACCACCTGATCGCAGGCACAGAGTCCCAACCCTCAGAGCCAGACATGTACCTTCCCTCAACCCATCACAGCCAGATGTCAAAGAAATTATAGGACTGATTGTACTCGCCCAAAAATGTCCGAAGATGGAATGATAACTACATAAGAGAGCCCCATTGAAAGCAGACTGCGGCGCTTTCCGGACCGTCGACGCGGCATCGCCGGGTCTCACCTTGTCGTGGCAGGGCTTCTCGCACGGCAGCATCTGTTTGAGGCCCGAGCCCAGGGCGCGTTCCACCATGCGCACGGTCCGCACCAATTCCGCCAGCTCCGCCGGCTCCAGCGACGCCTCGTGGTCGTTGCCCTTCCAGCTCTTGTCCAAAGTCACGTGACGCTCTAGGACTTTGGCCCCCAGAGCTACAGCTGCCACCGATATACTGATCCCGCCCTCGTGGCCAGAGTAACCAATAGGGATGTCTGGAAATTCCTTCTGGTACTCCTAGGAGTTTTGGGGCAAGGAATTAGACTGCAAAAATGGACACTAATATAAAAAGAGAGAAGACAACTACGATCTGACTTTAACGTAACGTAAATAAAATGCTAGCTATAACGACTAACTGACGTTAAAGTTCCATCCCAAAATAATTTCATGGTTGGAGGAGTCGTGGGGATGCATAACGACGGCTTTCTGGGAGGCTGTTACCGTGATGACGCGCAAGTTGACGTCCTCGGGTTCCAGTGGGTAGGCGCTGGTGCACTGCAGGATGCAGAAGTTCGAGTTGTGCTGCTTGACGGTCTGGTAAACGCGCCGCATGGTCTCCATGGACTGCATGCCGCTGGATACCACCATGGGGCGACCTGAGCGGCGGATACACACGCGCTCACCTTGGCTCCGCCCGAAACAGCCACCATGGTTTTCCGCACGTGATCATGCATCCAAACGAATGACCGAGTAAACAAGTCAAACAGGCCTGCCTTTCTGCGCCGTCTTCTCCAAGTAGACAAAATTGTTGGTGTCTCCTGAACCAACCTTGAAAAATGGCACGTTGAGCTCGTGGAGGAATTCCACAGCCATCTGTCAGAGAGAAACCAGCGAAATGATCCATGGAAATAGAAAACCAATGCTAAGGTTAGCAGTACAACGCTAAGCTGGATGGATATGCCTCAAGTTAATTACTAATAAAAGACAATCACTGTAAAATGATCAAACTTACAGCTCTGGGAAAAAGTTAGACCACTCTATATTTTTTTTTTTATCTGCAGTTTTAAATCCTGGTTATACCCTACCACAGCTCAAAGTTTCTAAGACAGCAGTACACAAGAATAAGGTGAAGAAGGAGACACTGGGAACAAAATATAAAACCCATTTTAGTTAAGTTCACTTACGTAAATTGGCTAAACATCCCGCTTACCTCATCCATCCCCGAGGCAGTGAAGAATATCCCAACCTCTTCGGCATACTTCTGCAGCTCCCTGTACTGCTCGTGGCTGAACTCCAGGTGGCGCTTGTGCTCCCCGTACGTCTTGCCCCATGAATGCTTGGAGGTGTAGGGACGCTCCAAGGCGCGTTTGTTGAACTTGAAGTCAAGCTCACTCTTCTGAAATTTGGCACAGTCCGCCCCGCAGTCCTGAAATTACACATGGAAACGTTACCTGGAAGTTACATATAACAATAAGCAAAAGTTATTTTTTCCTCTGGTGTTACGCATGTGCGCAGCCATAAAATGAATAAAATGAAACATTATGGATATTCCACTGATACCAAAAAGTGGTCTGGAATAATGTCTCAAACAAAGAGCATTATGATATTTGAATCACAAACGGCAAGATAAACACCATACAAAGAACTCTTTCTTCATCATTACCATACATCACCTAAGGTTGACTACAAAATTTCAGCAACACCTATAACCTGATCTGGATGCTATAATTACCGTGCAGTATTTCGGAACCCCCAGCCTTTCTCGGCTGAGGTGCTGTCTCCACCCGGCTCCTTACCTTGGCCATTCGGATCATTTTCTTCGCTATCTCGATGTCCCCCTGGTGGTTCTGCCCGATCTCGGCGATGATGAAGCAGGGGTTGCTGCCCCCGATCATCCTGCCGGGACACAACTCGAACTTAAGCGGCATCTCGTAAAACTAAATAGTGTCCGGACCTGCGGGAGGCGAACGGGAGGCGTATGACAGGCAGCACCGGGAACAGGAAGCAGGGCGCCTACTGACTACGTCCGGCAAAAAACAGCCGACGTCACCCAGCGCCGTAAACGCTATTTAACTATAACTGCTGCGATCTTCGTGTAAACCAGGCATGAGGGTGTAACTTATTTACTGACGCGCTTGGTTTCCCATAAAGGGTCCGGGTCTAAAGTATATGTTTACTGGCGGATATTCAATGCCAATATACAATGCCAATCCCTGCAGACAAAAAATAGTACACGTGTCAGCCGGCTTTTTAAAGTGACAGTGCACAATTTTCCATTTAAACTTTCTGTATTCATCCATCCATCCATCCATTGTCCAAACCGCTTATCCTTCTGGGTAGCGGGGGGTCTGGATAGCCTATCCACTGTTAATCATTGCTGTGAATGTGAATTATAGTGTCTTTTATTGTCTGTGTACTAGGGAGTCCCAAGCAGCCGGAACCAAATTCCTTGTGTGCCCATTTAGCGAATAAAGCTGATTCTGATTCTGAATGTGTGCATCGACCGCCTATTGCCAGTGAACGAAAAGCCTTTCAGATGTCTGGAAAAAGTCAAAGCTCGAAAATGTAAGCTGGCCATTTTATGCTGCATATTTTAAAACATTACTTTCACCTTATGTTAATCAGTGGTCAGATGAAAAGCGATGCTGTAACATTTGAGTTTAAAAAATTATTGAAATCTATTATCATTTTTTAACTGCATTATGTAATCTTTTGATTTGAAATCAGTGTAAAATCGACATTCTTATAATTAAACTTGTACGGATAATTGCACTGTTTAGTAGATATTCTTTTCCCAGAGCAATTACTGAAAAAACCCCCAAAATTTTCATTTGTGACATGCCGAGAAATTAAATTGCCGTTACTCCAGACGGCGTAATAAACAAGGAAGAAGGATAACCAAATTAAATAACATTTAAAATGTATATTTTAAATAATTAAAATAACATTAATTTATATGGGGAGAACTCTAATCCCAACATGACGACCTTCACCCCTACCCAGCCCTAACCTTAACCATAAGTAACCAAACAAAATACGAAACTTTTGGCATTTTGAGTTTTTTAATTGAGAGTTTCTTTCTCACTCTCGTTGCATGCGCAGATGTACAAGCTGCAAACCGGGCAGGAGTTGCAGATCGGATACTGACAAAGCGACAGGGTCCAAAGCATCTTTGCCGTCTGATATAAACGCAAAGCCCTGCAAAGAAAACAGTGCACACGTGCCAGTAGACCTCTTAAAGTGACAGTGCAAAAGTTTCCATTTTAACTTTATATGATCATAATATTTATTCCTGTGAATATAGTAATACTATCGACTAATGCTTGTTGGATGACTTAAGGTTCAATCAAAGCTGGACAGCAGTATATGGAGTTTTTTTAAAGTATAGTACAAAAATAACCAATGTGTTTAAGGTAATGTACTGTAAACGAGCGTCAGATGCTGTGTCATTCCCGTTGTCAGTGAATGAAAACATTAGTAAATGGGTCGCAAAAATCAAAAGATGGAGAACGTAAGCTGAGCATATTAACCTACATATTTGATAACATTACTGTTACGTTAATCAGTGAACAAATGAAAACCTACATTGTAACATTTTGATTTCCGAAATCATTTAAGTAACTGTATTTTGTTCCAGTTATTCTTATTACGTGGTTAGCCTTGAAAACATTATAAGCGCAAAATTCCTATATAAAAACTTTCATAAATTATTGTATAAACCGTTTAGCAGATATGATCTAGAGCAACTGCGTGCATCACTTGTACGTTAACTGGATATTTCTTCTAAGACAACTAATGGACTGAAAGAAACTCAAAGTTTTCTCTTGGAACTTAAATATGAAATACACGTTAAAAAAATCACGCCCAAGAACCACAAAGTCGGCGGTTTCCCCCAACACATATCTGAATCTACACGCTCAAATGCAAAATAATGCGTGATGCGTGTACAGTACAGTCGCAGCCCGCGCATCGGCGGCATAACGAGCCGCATCCAGCAGCAGCGCAGCGCACAGCCCCGCAGATCCTACGCTGCAGACGCACAGCCCCGCAGAACCTACGCTGCAGACGCACAGCCCCGCAAATCCTATGCTGCAGACGCACAGCCCCGCAGTTCCTACGCTGCAGACGCACAGCCCCGCAAATCCTACGCTGCAGACGCACAGCCCCGCAGATCCTAAGCTGCAGAGTGCAGCTCACCGGCACGTCGCCGATCCTGCCTACGTCCTGCACACGGCGAAGATCATGGGATGAGTGCGTGCTCGGCTCTGCCATTTCTCATTGGCTTAGCCAGTGATCGGCGTCGTTATGATTGGCGAACGCCCTGTCCATCAAACGCCGACGCCTCTGATTGGCCGCGTCGAGCTTTCTGCTCCATTGTGTAGCTGTCTCCCATCCTGCCTTTTCCCTTCGCCTGATCTCGGACTGACCCAGTCTGGGCTTCGCCGTCCTGCGGTGGCTGCGCTTCACTTACTCACCGCTTTCTTTTTAAAAAAAGTGCCGTCGACGGCTTTCAGTCAGCAATGGATGACTTCGACATGTTGAGCGCGCCGCAGCCCGAGGCCGGTAACGGCGTCGGGACTGAGGAGGACCCCGCCGCCGCTTTCCTGGCACAGCAGGAGAGCGAGATCGCGGGCATCGAGAACGACGAGGGCTTCAGCATCCTGGACAGCGGGGAGGTCCCGTCATCTTTCACCGACGGCCTGACGGGTGAGCGGATTTTAGCGGGAAAACCCCCTCGGTTTTATAATTCCGGGTCTTACGGGTCCCGTTATACATGAATCGCCCGGCGTGTTGTAATGCGCAGCCGGGCACTGGCGACCTTTCGGTGTGAGAAAAATAGCCGGAAGTTGTGGCAATAACGGTCGGCGTCAGGCTGGTGTTGCATCGAGCTGGGATGTTTGCTGTAACTTGCATATAAAATTCACAGCACTGAGACGGCAGTGATATACATGATTGATGAGGTGACAAGTTGTGCACTTTGCTTGAAATTTAACCCCAGCGTCACTGTCAATAACAATGCATAACGTAAAGAAAGAGGTATTTTAAGTAGTAGTTTCGTCCTGATGCCTGGATACTGCAGCAAAGGCGGGGATTCTTCTTACGGGTCCCGCAGTGCAGGAGATGCAGTGCAAGCCGTATGGGATTTTTCAAGGCATGCAACTGGATCTGCTCCAGGAGACCGAGTCCATCGAAGTGGCCAGCGGCCAACCTTCATGTAGGTGGAGAGGCCTCCACAGAAGGCGGACATCAAGTGATCTCCCATTTCCAGCTGAAAAGCCCCCCCCTGCCTGTTAAAGTGCACATTAGGCACAGTAACCTTTGTACCGTGTGAGTTAAGGTGTAGCCACTTGACCGAACAGGAAGTTGAGCTGCTGCTGACGCATCTAAACCCCGAGCTGCCTCTTCCTGGCGTGCGTCACGGCCGCGCTCCCTACACGGCCCGCGCTCGCTGCCCGTCCCTGCGCTCTTGCGCCAGGCGAAACTGCATACGCCAGCGTTCTGGCCGGACACTGGCGGCCCGCGACCCAGAGCCCGTGTTTGGTGGCAGCATGGTGACCAGCTTTGCAACCAGCCCCTCCAGTCCGAGGTTTAACAGACATATTGCATAGAAGTGTGCAGGTAAGGGCTTTTGTCAGCAGTAAAACAGACTGCAAAAGCAGTTTTTTTTTTCCTTAGGAGATTCCCGTTTCCTCACCCAGTGTAGGCAGCGGGGAATGAATCGCGGACCACAGCTTTTTTGTTCTTCCTCCTGGAGAGGAATGTGACCTTTTGAGAGACACGAGAGGGGGGGGTATGGTGTTCACGAGCCTGAACTGTGCCTGCTTTCCCAGCATGCACTGCAGTCTGGCGGCCAGGCTATGCCCTGCTGCCTGGCAGCGGTCATCAGGAAAAACTGCGCTCCCCCAGCTCCCGTCATCCTTTTACCTGGGAGACGTGACTCTGTCACCCGATCGGAGGGCCTTAAATGAGTAATGAGGCATTCTCTCGTTACAGGAGGACACGGTCCGCATCTCAACAGCTGCCAATAAACATGTACCACTCAGTCTGGGCGGGCGGATCATACTGTAACCGGCCAATTGGTTCAGTTTCAATTCAATTATTTCTATATAGCGCCTTTCGCAACAGAGTCGTCCCTTGACAAGAGCGTGTGGCAACCCATCACTAGAGTATGGCGCATAAAACGGCGGAAAAGGGAAAGTAAGAATGCCAGAAGACGACGGAGGAGAAGAAGGATAAAGTAGGGAGGAAAAGAAAAACACTCTGGGGGTCCGAGGTCAAGTGGCTGATAATGTAGAAAACAGAACAAACTGAGCCTGCTCTAATAAAACCAGGCTTTAAACTGAAAGCTACTGAAGGCCATGAAAGCTGGTGAGAGCGCTATAGCTCCAGGCAGCGGTTTAATTATTCGGTGCTTTATAGGTTTAACGAGGACGGTGTTTTGATGCCAGAAGTGTCGTACAAAAGGGTGCTTCCTGTTCACAGTTGGAGCGTTTTAATTTGCTGCGCTAACTGTGGCTGGGGGAGACGTCTTTGGGGCACCGCTAAAATGTTAGCGCCGGTGCTGTAGGCGGTGTTGCCCTTTTTACTTTGTATTCCACATTTTGACGTTGAGTCTGCGTTTCTTTCAGAAATGTACCGACTTGAGAAGTGTCATAAGCTGGCCATCCTGTTAAACTGTCTACTGGTGAATTATTCAGTTGTCAGTCCAGATCCGTAGCTGAGGTAGAAGTGGGGGTTGTAGCTTTGGGCCCTGATGCTGAGAGAGACATCAATTAAGCCTTGAAAGGGTGTTTGATAACAGGCACTGTGCTGGAAACACCAGCAGTGTTTATGTGAAACCAACATACAGACATTTCCTATTCATTTTCCTTTGAAGCAATTTAGTGTTGCTGTCGGGTGTAACATGAATCGTACCTACCAGCAGAGTCGCTGAGATCTCCTATGGGAAGCTTTCGAAGGAAAAAAAATTGGATCCCTGAGCTTTTAGCAACGACTGGTGGGACTGAGTAAAAAAATAATGGTGGCAAAGTTATACGGAAAGTTCTCCTACACCTGTAATGTAACATAACCCAAGCACTAAAAGTCCCAAAAGAAGGAGAGAATCTCTTGGACGCGTCAGCGAGTGTCAAGGTAAAACCAGCGGTGAGGGAGTGAACTGCGTTACATTACCGCTGTTTTTTAAATAGCTTTCCTAGCGGGAATTGACACTAAATCTCACGCATTAATTCAGAGGTCATCGGTTGCTGCTGTGAGCTGCAGAGGTGATGTGCGGGTTCTCTGCCCGGCGGGAAGGACGCGCTCAGCTCAGGCAGCGGGTGCTGCATCTATCACGGGTGCACAGTATCCGCAGCTGTCCGTAAATGCAGCACGTGTCGGTAACGGATCCGTTTTTGAAGCCTATTACGTAACCCTGCTCTTGAACGTCTTCCTCTGAACCGTGTTGTCTAGCTACCGCAGTTCAGTTGCGCTGAGGCAGAGCTGTGGCTCGGATTGCAAGACGAACGGCGACGTGTGACCTTCCTTCTGAAGGGGGAGTGAGTGGAGCGTGAGGCAAAGGCGCCCAACCCTAGAGTCCCTCAGAGACTCGGCGCTCTGAGTGAAAGGGGGCGTCATCTATTGTGAGGACATTCCAAAGCCCCAGATTAGAGAAAAGCAACTACAAGCATTTCAACTTTTACGGTAACACCCCCCCACCCCCAGGACACGCAATAGATATTTCTTAACATGAACATTTCCCAAGTGGTACCTCCTCCTTACATTGAAACTGACAATACTTATTGTTCATAACAATAAGTTAATAATGAATAGGCAGAATAGTACCTCAGTGTCAGGCTGCTGTGGAAGCCTGACTACCTTCAAGGTAATGAGTAGTATTTTCCATTTTTTCCCCCCAGTTGTGGGTTTTTTAATAAAACTAAACTTGCTGTTACTCCATTTTGTTTATCGGCTCGCTGATTACTTGCCCCTCCTAAGTCATCCACATTAATGCTGTTTGACGTGGCTGCATATTGTCACGTCCATTTAATTCAGTGAGGACATTTCAGCTGATTTTCATTCTTGGTTTGAGTTTTTTGCCTTTTCTGCCTTCTTATGAAGATGGTACCTAAAGGCTGCAGACATTCGTAGGCAGATCCAAGCTGCTCTTTTCTAATAATATTCGGGTAAAAGTGCTTTTGCCAGCCTGGTTTCCGGTCCAGGGGATTCATTCCCGCGGACCACAAATATGACGTGATTTTCATGTGCGTATGGTGAAGTTTAATCGATAAATTATGCAGAGTAAGACATTACCGACATTAAATACAGTGATAAAGTACACTGTACATTATTATTGGCTACAATACTGTACAGTACTATACTCTCTCCAATGAAATGGATCCTAACGTTTCAGCCCATTTCTCAGGTGATGAGAGCATCGAAAAATATGCATCAGGGATGACAGACATTGACAATGATGCTATTTATATCCCTCAGAGGACAAAGGAACAATGGAAAAGCATACTGTTACACATTTTATTGTTTGTTTGTTTTTTCTTGATCGCGGTATGCTGTGGATACAGGGGGCTACTGTACTGTAGTAAAACGAACATCAGAAATTTACAAACGCAGCTTGTAGCTCATTTGGGGAGAACTCAGTAATTGTAGTAGTGAGCTAAAATCCATGTTTCTGTTAAACCGAGTGGCTGATCTATCATATATATATATATAAAATAAAAATAGGTCAGATGGTTGTAATTTGAAGCAGGGGTGCAGGCTCACGTGCAGCAGAATTGCTGACAGCCTGATGGATAATTAGGGAAACCCCCCCCCCCCCCCTTGTAGTCAGGGAGGAGCGACCGTTATGACATTGCGTGTTGAATGATTTACCCGATAACTGTCAAGCATCAGTTCTGTCTGATATCTGGTAACATTCACTGTCAGAAATGTGCAAACGTGCAGGAAGTCAGTGGTGGAGTGTATTTACACTATTAACGGGAACATTTGTATGGCCAACAAGACGCTAATTATACTATTTAACATTTAATTTTATTTTTCTACTATACTTAATGTTTTACTCCCTTTTGTTTGTAATGTTTTTCTGGCTCAGTTCACATTAAAAGGCTCCAACTGGCTGTTCTGGGTTATAAAATCTTACTTATGCTGCCACCTCCCTGCTGCATAACAAAAATATTATTGTGGCAGGTGTTAAGCATACTGGTTACAGATGTCCAGTGCGCTCAGGATTAAAACGAGATCTGCCAGTAGCCCTTTGGAGTGATGTAATGACAGGCTGCTTCTCATGGCTGGGAAATGAGGGTCCTGTTCCCAGATTTTGCATGTGGGGCTGGAGATTTCGCCACGCATTACACGTATACTCATTCCACGTCCGATAAATTATTGGTAGCGTTTACTGTTTGACGCACAAAGTGAGTTTTGCGGTTTACAGTAAACAGTTCCTGCCTGTGTGGGCTGTTCTGTTAAAGGGAACTCTGGGTACTCTGTGTTTAGCGGCCCTGTTCTGTGTCCTTGGTCCTCCTTAGCTTGATTGCCAGCATGATCAATGGCTACTCAGCCTTTGGTCTTCTCCCCTTACCTGTCACCTTCTTCCTTGGTGACGCTGGCGTCTTCCTCCTCATCCTCCGTGACCTTCATGATCTCCAGCTGGCAGACGTCCCTGGCCCTGGGCCTGTCGAGGCTGACGGTAGATCCTCTGGGGCTTCCCCACCAGCTGGAAGAGGAAAAATAGATGAAGAAGATTCTGATGCTATTTCTTGTTTACATTTCCTGATTTGTGACGGACTGGTATCCCCTCGACGGCTGTCTGCTGTAGCCTTTGGAATTATCTGATCCTGCTTAACTGTTGAAATTCATGCATAGAAGGATTTATGCTCTTTCTGACTGAAATGTGTTTTTTTTTAATGTGCGGATGGGATGACCTGAATGGAGAACCTGACATGACCTGGTGTACTCACGTCCGTTACTCAGGACAGCATCGCAGGAATTTAAGGGCACGAGAAGCAGTTTAAATCTGGCCGGGAAACCATAAATGTTCTGGCTGTATTCCTGAGCTAATGTTCTCTCTCAGTTCGGGTCCCTTGTGAAGTGTGTGTCCCGTCTATGCGTCAGTATCACATCCCAGCCTGGTGGGGGCGTGTTCCCTGCGGTAACGTGAATCCACTGTGCAGTCAGTGTGCTGTGGGGTTCCTACCGGGCCAGGTCACCAGGAGCCACCTTGCCACCCCCAACCCCCCCCCCCCCCCGGTCTCACCATGTCACCGTCTCTGCGACCGACGTTATCCTCTTCCCCAGAAACATCGCTCTGTTACTGGATCAGAATGTTTTAAATAAGTGATGAGTCGCTCTCCATTTTCAGAGCTGGGCGCCGGGACCCAGAGCGAACAAAGAGGAAAAAATGATTCAAATGAAATGGTGTTTAAAAATTGAATGGTTAGTTTTACTTTAAAAAGAAGAATCTGAGATTGGCAAGAAATTTCCCGGAACAGAATAAATTACTTCAACACTTTTATAGGACAAAAACCGATCTTGTATCTCTCCCCCAAGACAGGATTCATGATTCTTGACATTTGCTGGCTAACTGGCTGAAAGTCTAGAGGCCCTCGATGGGTCCAGAGACCCCATATGGAGGACAGAGGATACTTTGTCTACTATTTTATTGTCTTTTACAATGAGCTTTTGTGGTGGAACAATTGCAATATTAATATAAGCTTATCTACATTTACCTTGGTGTCCCCTAGACACGTGGAAACATTTGGGCCGTCTGCTAACGTGACTTTCCTTCTTTCCCCAGATGCCTTCGACAGTGCCGTTAACGGTGAAGTGCACGAGGTAAAAGAGCTCGATCTGCCTGTCTTGCTGGTGACCTTGTTGCCCTCGCTTGTGCTGAGGTGGCCCGTGAGGTGTGAGAGATGGAGGTCCAGCCTGCCTCAGTACTGTTCTTTAACTGGAAAATATGTGAACAGTATTAAATGTTTATACTATACAATCAAATAAATCCAGCAATGTTCAGTTCTGTAAACTGTCAGTACAGCTGTGCGCTTCATTTTAAACTCATTTGTAGCATTTTTTGTTTAATTGCCTGAAAGTCACCAGTATTATCTAAACTGTTGTTTGAAAACCAGAATGGCTTTGTTGTCCCTTCGTGCCTGACAGGCGAGCAACGGCCCCACTGATGCTTACGCCGCGATCTCCAGTGTCGACCGCCTGCAGTCTGAGCCGGAGAGCCTGCGCAAGTGGAGGGAGGAGCAGAAGGAGAGGCTGGAGGCTCTAGGTGAGGGAGGCGGCCTGGCGAGGCAGCCTGGCGAGGCGGCCTGGCGAGGCGGCCTGGCGGGTTTTACTGAGGCTAGCGATGGAGGGGCCTACAAGAGGCGCGGGTGGGCTGGCTGCTGGACTTCCTGGTCGGGGTCGTTTAGCAGAGCTGTGTACCTCCCCTCCTTCCAGACGCCAACTCTCGCAAGCAGGAGGTGGAGTGGAAGGAGAAGGCCAAGCAGGAGCTGGAAGAGTGGCACCTGCGGCAAGATGACCAGCTGGAGAAGACAAAAGCCAGTAACAGGTAAAGCGGGGACTTCCGGCGTGGCTGGGGCTGAACGGCCGACTGCAGAGGCGGAGCTGCCA